TTTGGTCTGCAATATTTTTTTGATGTGGATCACAAGTGCTCTGATTGACGCAAACTTGTTGTTTGGGCAAATATCCTTTCTGGTGGTTCATTATCTCATACGAAGAGGTTTCATGTGTTGATGCCAAAATGAGGCCCCTTTTGATCTTGGCTCTCGTGCGATCAGGTCAGTTGGTGGACACCTATTTTCGTGTAAGGCCTTTCTGATAGGAAGGTAAGAAATATCAAATCTCTTTTTGTGGACGATATTCGATAGGGTATGTACATTTTATATATCACGGCCTTATACAGGGAAGCAAGGGGTACAGAAGTGGATGATATTATATGAACTCCATTTTGTTCTGACCACATGACATGTTTTTGAACTAGAATTTCAACACTCAACATTGTTAACTGGATGGATCACTAAAAATAGAATCTTCCATCTACTATGGGCATTTGGAAATCTTTAACTTTTTTTGCACCTCCACTGTTTGGGCATCACGTTGAAACTTTTTTCGATGGTTGAGGCACCTGAGGGATCTTCAATGCTTCGAAGCCTGAGTAACCAATACACTTGAAGGTGGAGGCAGGTGGTGATTTCTTGTGTATCTCCTTGGGCATCTATAGGACCCGACAGCCCAGAATATCTGGCAGAATCGTCGCTGCCAACAGTGCAAGTCCCTATCAGCCCTACTGGTACAGATAGCCAGTGATCCTGACTTCTGACAGGAAGTTCAGGGGAGTCCAGACTCCTGATGTGGAAGATGATTCATCATCCCTAGGATTTTTGTTGCGTCGGAGCCTGAACTCCCAGTGCCTAGTCCGATAGTGAGACGTCCTGGTCCAGCTTGGATTGTGGGAGGAGCTTGCCCTAGTGGAAGCCTGTGGACTCGTCAGCCAGTGTTCCAGCGCAGCATCCAGTTTCCCTGAGATTAACCAAGTGCCCAGGTCTCCAGGTGGTTGTGACTTCAAAGTCTGACAGTTTGGCATGAAATAATTAGCACTGTACTTGTAAGAATGAATCACCCATTTCTGATTAATGCTTTTTATGCTTGATGAACGTGAAATAGTGAATGAATAGAAACAAAATACCACTCTCCTCATATAATTTTGTCTTTCATTGTTAACTCAATTGTGTTCCCGTTCAGCAATACCTCTCTGCCTGACGGTCTCGTGGTGTTGCTCGTCAACACAACAATGAAGTGGCAGAATTATCTAAATATTCAGAACTTTTATATAACTGATGATAACGTTCACTTTGAGCCAAGAACTCCTGAAAACAGATTTTTCTCTTGAAATTAAGGATGCTTTGAAGATCCTTGTTGCTTTACCTTTTAAGACTTGTACAGTTGAAAGGTCATTTGGTAGCCTTCGAAGAATCAAAACCTGATTGAGGAGCACCATGTCTGAAACTCGACTCAATGGCCTCGCAATGAGTGTACACAAGTAACATATTTTCAAAAACTTGAACGATTTCGTCAACAAAGTGACCAACGAATTCACAAAGAACCCTAGCAGATTCTTGTTCAATTGATTTCCTATAAGTATACATATATATATTATTTTCCGTTTTTAAATTTTTCTCATTAAACTTTTCTTATTTGATTTTCCTCTTCAGTTTTTTATGGTCCCTTCCCCCATACCTTTCGGGTTGGCAACGCCCTTGCATAGCAGGTCATTTTATTGGCACTCCAATCACGCAACTTTTTTTCAATTTACCAAATATATACCTCTCGTAGTTTCCGAAATGTCGTATACCCGGTCTAATATACTATCGTCAAATGAATATGATGATTTCGTGATAAAATAGTTATTTATTATACAAGGGAAAAAAGTAGTAGATTTTAGCTCCAGGTTGTGTCTATCCGCTACGCGTCGGGAGACAAAAAACCGTGAGCTAAAATCCAATATTTTTCCCGTGTATAATACACTATTTTTTTCTGTGACAGAAGGAAGGACGAGTCAATATTGAGAAGATATTACATTATTTTGAAATCTAAAAATTATCGACGTGAAATTTTAAGTTTTATTAACAGTAGGGACACCTGCGTTGTAGTAGGCATCTTTATCATTCTTTTGAAGTAATCAAATATCTGATGTCACTTCTGTCAGTCTTATTCTGTGATTGGATTTAAAAAAATTGCGAATTTAGTGGTTGTTTAGTAATATACGTAACCGCGAAGTCGAATGGAAGATAAAAGGACTTGCAGTTCTTTCTCGGAGACGGTATTATTGACTCATTTTTCGGAACTATAGCACAACAAAAGCCATCATCAGTGTATATATATATATATGTGATATATATCCGGGAAAAAAGTACTCACTTTTTTCTCACGGGAAAAAAGTAATTTATCAAAAGTGACATTTTATAACCTCCCAACTGAGATGAAATGCCAAACTTTTTTTCCGTCACAGAAAAAATACATTTTATCTTCCCTAATAGGCGATCCAAATAAGCAATACGCCCTCTTGCGGATATTCAAGTAACTAATGGAAAGTACATACATTAATTGAATGTTTATTTGAATTCAAGTGTCCATGCTTTTTATCGAATGTTTTGTGGTAATTGTGAGGTTTTTCGAGTTTTATTTCTTCAGTAGAGTATCTTGAATCATTATTGCTCGGTTTTACATGTAATTCATGGAAGTTTTCTCACTGCATTTCACAAAAATTGATAATTTCTATCAGTGTCTCTCGATTTCGAGATTAAATTCAGTTGACCTTCATTTCAAGAAGTGCAAAGGTATAGTCGGAATTTGAAAAAATGGAATCCCTACTCATAAGCAAAGCACATATATATCAATTCTCAATTTCAATTTCAATTTTTCATGCTCTTATTTTGGATGTTCAACAGATATAATTCAATGTTCGACGTGGCAAACCAATCAGAATTGAAAGACAGTTCGTATTTTCGCGATTAGCACACGTTGTCACTGGCTTGTGACTGGTCAGATTATGTGTTAAGTGAAATAGTCACTTATAATATCACCAGAGCTTCAATTATTTCCGGAAATGTTTTCGAGAACACGAATTCTCTAAATATTCGTGTTCTATGAGAAATTACAGGCTATTTATTGAAGCTAAAGTGGAATTCAGTAAAAAAATTGCACACTGAAATATTATATTGCGAATATACTCACATGATAATATTATATGGTGAACTGTTGATAAATGATTTTTATTTATTGACTTATAGAATGAACTCGAAATAATCTGAAGTTGAATAGGTCGCGTGCATGATGACCGACCCTGGAGGCAAAATATTGAAACACAACCTCATTCTTCTGTGAATTATTGAAACACAACCTCACTTTTTTACTTGGTTACAGAGGAATCAAAGGATTGAACTAGTTTTTCACAATATTTTGACATACGAATCGTGTTTTTTGCGCTATTCATTAATTCGAGCATGCCTTCGCATTGTGCTGTTGTACAATGCACAAAAAATGCAGCAAGAGACTAAAGAATATGATTTTTCAGGTAAATAGTAATCTCACATAGTTATCATTATGAAATGTTGTCATCCGTCATTAAAATTCCTTCTGCCTTCTGTCACCTCTGCAATACAAGCTAATGCAGCTAATAGATTGAAAGTGTCTACAACACACACGTCAGCATGTCAGACCAGTCCTCCCGATCGATTGCATGAATCCAATTTTCTGGCAATATTTTAGAAATTTCAAATGTTTTTCTATTAGCTTCTATCGCAGAAAGAATTCCGATAAGAAATCAGAGAAATTACCAAATTTCAAAAATGAAAACTATATGTGAGTGACTATAGTAGGTACTTACTTTTGAATCATATTGTACCAACCGGATCACTTCGTCTTCCGCTGCAGTTTTTGTGCATTTCACAACAGCATAATGTGATGGCATGAGCGAATTGATGAATAGCGGAAAAATACGATTCGTATGCCAAAATAATTGTGAAAAACTATTTCAATCACTTGTAAACAAATAAGTAAAGTGACGTTTGTGTTTCAATATTTTGCCTCCAGTGTCGGTCATCTGACAGTTCTTGCACGCAACCCATGTAAATGTCATTTAACCTATAAACGTCAAAAAAAATCCAGTGTAATAGGTCACGTGTAAGAACTGTCAGATGACTGACCCTGGAGGCAAAACATATTTGTTTACAAGTGATCGAAATAGTTTTCCACAAATATTTTGGCATATGAATCGTATTTTTCCGCTATTCATCAATTCGCTAATGCCATCACATTGTGCTGTTGTGAAATGCACAAAAACTGCAGCGGAAGATGAAGAAATCCGGATGGTACATCATGATTCAAAAGTAAGTACCTACTATAATAGTCACTCACATAGTTTTCATTTTTGAAATTTGGTTATTTCTCTGATTTCTCATCGGAATTCCTTCTGCAATAGGATCAGCTAATAAAAATATACCTGAAATTTCTAGAATAATGCAAGAAGATTGGATTCATGCAATCAATCGGTAGGACTGGTCTGACATGCTGACGATCGTGTGTGTTGTAGACATTTTCAATCTATTAGCAGCATTATCTTGTATTGCAGAAGTGGCAGAAGGCAGAAGGAATTTTAATAAGGAATGACAACATTTCATAATGCTAACTATGTGAGATTACTATTTACCCGAAAAATCATATTCCCTAGTCTCCTGCTGCATTTTTTGTGCATTGTACAACAGCACAATGCGAAGGCATGCTTGAATTAATAAATAACGCAAGAAACACGATTCGTATGCCAAAATATTGTGAAAAACTATTTCAACCTTTTGATTCCTCTGTAATCAAATGAAAAAGTGAGGTTGTGTTTCAATAATTCACAGAAGAATGAGGTTGTGTTTCAATATTTTGCCTCCAGGGTCGGTCTTCGTGCACGCGACCTATTTCATGCTCCGTCCCCCAACGAGCAGGAAAAATTTTCCAAGAAAATTGGTTTAGTTGCTATGGTAACGATACGGAATACAGGCTTTCAATTGATCGAAAACGTTTGGTGTGAAATGGTCACTGAAATCCAGTTTTCGTTGTGTCCCAGGTAGACGAAGGCATCGAGGCCATGCTGTGCTGCTGGCTGCAGCAGTTGCAGGAGTTCGGCGGGCCCGAAGTGGAGAAGCCGGACCTGCTGCTGGGGTCGGGCGGTGCGTCGATGCGCACGCCTGCCAGGACCGGCTCCAGCCCGAATCTGGCCAAGCAGCTGATCGTCGATCCGAGGGTCAGGTACAATGTGAGTTGCCCATTGCATTTTTTCACATTTCTCTACTTCATAATCATAATTAGTCTCCATGCAATTTTCACCAATCAATCAAAAAGAACAATATTCACCACTACGCAGACGATACCCAGTTATATTCTTCTTTTCGTTTGCAGTGTTTTGACTCTGCACAGCTTGCCATTTATCGCGATCTCCAAGCGTTATTCGATATTTTTTCGGCACATAAGTTGAAACGGAAATTAAAAAAAAAAACGCAGTAATGTTGTTTGGACCGAAAAAAATCAGAAATGGAACTCCGAAATGAAAAATCTAGTCATGTGGCTCGATTCTGAACTTCGATTCACAAAGCATGTGAACTTTCTTAGTCAAACTACTTTCAATGTACTCAGACGATTGTATCCAAATCGGGATCTACTCAGCACTAAACTCAAACTCAAACTGTGTGAGTCACTTATCATCTCTAAAGTTTCCTACCGTGATAGTATTTATGGACCTGCCTTCATATACGTATTAATAAACAATACGGATCATAACGGGTGCCAGGATGAAGCCAAAAATATGAAACAAATGAATATCCATAAGGATTTGGTGGCATGATACGCATGCGCCATGCGCTATTATAGTAGTCATCAAAGACATGCGTTTCGGTGGACAATGACGTTTACTAGCCTTTCAATCAAAGCAGTATGTGTCTGATCGTTTCAAAACTTTTCCTTATGGATAGTCATTTGTCTTCAAAAATCGGCTTCATATTTCGCTATGGAAACAGATAGAGATTATCCGTATTGATTATTGATACGTATATGCCTGCCTTGCGGTAATCTGACTCTTTGCTCCTGCATCGCATCCAAAATAGTTGTTTACGGTTTTCTTTCGGTGTCCGAAAATATGACCATATCTCATCAGCTATGAAGGAATCAGGTTGGCTCAAGCTTGAGAAACTCAGAACTCTGCACCTGTTGATTATCACCCATAATGTACTGACGACAAACACGCCTGAGTACCTTTAAAAAAAACTGACATCATTTTCAGATATAAATAGATTTGAAACTCGTAACAAATCTATTCTAGTCATTCCCAAACACAAGACTGCAACCTTTACTCGCGGCTTCTCGTACATGGCACCGAAATATTATCAGAGATTATAAACTACTCCCCAGTGAATTTAGATTATAAACAATTCATAATTTCAAGAAAAGGATGAAGCAATACCTAATTCAGTTAGACGCCAAAATTACCAAATATATACCGAACCTTAGCCACTCATTAAGGATTGTCGACTGTCCATATTCCTGACTAACCACAATTTACTGGGTACCACTTATTTTTTCTTTCTTCTTTTTTGTGCTATCATCTTGTGTACAACGGTTGAGTTTAAAAACAGCTTAGCCTGACACTCCGCCCTTTCACCGATAATTATTGTAATATCGTATCTCCACTTGGATCCTTGTTTTTGTATGTACTTTGGTGAATAAAGACGTATTACCATCATTATTATCATTATTTATAATTCGATTTTTGTTGCTCTTGGAGAATTCGACTGGAGAACCTGCCAAAACACAATTTTTTACTTTTAATCTCCAGGCAACATGATTTTCAACAGTGACCTTACGATTGCGTCTAAGCGCTTGATATATGTTGGTGAAAAAGTACTCACTTTTTCCGCGAAAAAAAAAGGGATTTTATGAAGAGTGACATTTTCTTACCTGTACATCGCTATAATGTCAAACTTTTTTCCAGTCACAGGAGAATACATATTTTCTTGACGTCATAGGTTAATTTCATTATCCTGAAATTTGTATAAGCATAAAAATAAATCTACTGAAGTCTACTGAATTTCTGACAAGCTATATCGACTGATGAAATAAAAATCTTGAAATTTCTTGGGTCAAGACAAGACATGATATGTCAAGAAAACGTCAAGACAAGATTTTCCGAAATTTCTTGACTTATTCTCAAGACAAGAAGTTGTTAAATTTGAAAATAAAAGCAATTTTCATTGAATTCCTAGATAACCGCTAAAATTCTTCATATTCTGGTGCATAATTCAGTATCTGAGAGTGTCTGAATGGGTAGCATTATTTAGTCAATCACTCCCAGGGGTATTGATGCACTAAGAAAAATAGTCGGTAGTATTTACCAAACGTTTAATAAAATAGGCGCCAGTCACAACATTCATCTAACGATACCACTACAACATTATATAATACTATACTATATCAAATATAACCACTACGAAAAAGGATGATACTTATAGTTTAGTGAATAGTTTATCGACTGAATCATATTATGATATAATATGAAATATCGGGGAGTTCACAGTCAATAGTCTTCTTCAAGGTTGCAATGTGAGTTGAAAGGTATAAATAATAATAAGTACCGGGTGACCAGTTATATATTCTGACCCATTTCAACTGCTCATATCTCCGAAACTATTCAAATTATCGTTGTGCGGTTTGGACTTCTCTATTTTGATATTCTTCAAGTTTTTTGACTGGTTCACCTTCTCACCTGTTCTTCCGGTTCTACCGGAAACAAACAAGTCATTATTCAGGTATAGGGCAACTTTAATAACATTGCATAATCTCATTAAACCATTCCACAAGCAGTAGTTGTTTCAAAGAGTTATAACTCTGATAGTTTTCTAGGAGAACATAACTTGTGATACATTGTTAGATAGAGAAAAGACCAGTCTTTCTAAATGTGCAAAAATATACAGGGTGATTCAATGAAATGAAAAAGTTGCCTATACCTGGATTATTGCTTGTTTGTTCCCGGTAGAACCGGAAGTTCAAGTGAGAAGATGAACACGTCAAAAGAAACTTGAAAAACATCAAAATAGACTAGTCCAAACCGCACAACGATAACTTGAATGGTTTCAGAGATATGGGCATTTGAAATGGGTCAAAATATAACTGGTCACCCGGTATAACAAACATAGATGTTTTATACATGAAATTGATAGGACCATCATCATCTATATTTTTCATACTCATTATTATTCCAATGTATACTGCAACCTTGAAGAAGAAAATAAAAATTTTCGAAAGCTTGGCATATAGCAATGAGTGTGTGTGATTATTTAGGAGAAACATGGGTGCCCATGAAAGTTTTCGAAATTGTATTCGAAAATATGGAAGAGGATACAATTTTGTTGAAAAAAAGCACCAAGTGTTAAAACTCATAAAGATACAGTTTTCGAAAAAAAAACGAATAACCAATTTGAACTCCGAAATTTGATGTAGATGTCCGAGGATGTCTAATAGTCCATTCTAGACATCTGTTCAGAGAACTCTATAACCATGATAGATATCATTCTGTAATTGTGGCACGATAAGACATACAGGGTGGACATGAAAAAATCTATAAATATGTACAACTTCACCACCCTGTATCTCGCAAACGAAGCCCTCTACGACTTTTGTTAAAACAATTTCCATTTTCTTGGGACGCCCTGTCACCTCTCGAAGTGCGTTCCACATAATTCGAAACACCCTGTATATCATCAGTAATGGTAGGTCATCATAAATTTGAAGATATATATCGTTTGTTGAAATTTGTTGATCTTTCACAATACTGAATGTTGAATTCGTATAGGAGAAACAATAATAGAAAATTCTTCAAGGGCTTTCAAGATTAATCATAATCTGCATCATTATCCCGCCTCATTGAGCTACTTAACTGATTCGGATGTCTACAATAGTATATCCAGACTGTAATAAATTTGTAGAAGGATTCCCAATTTCTCAATGTAATTCCATTAATTCCATCAGTTTTATTGTATCTAAAACAAACTTCTTCATCGTATTCAACTTCGAGCAATAGTTCCCGGAGCTTTCCACAGGCAGGATATAAATGAAGTACTCGCTTGTTTATCCGATCTTCATTTGTACATAAACCGTGAAGTGCAGAATAAGATGTTGGGGCAGTAAATAAACTCTCCCCATGACAGTAATAAAGGAAGGAAACTTACGACGTCAAGGATCACGTAGAAGTGCCTGTTTATAGCATATCTCTTGAATAAGTGAATATTTTTCGGTTCACGCGCTATTCAAGGTTACGACGGTTATAAGTAGAAATGGGGTTTAGTTTTTTGTTACGCATAACTGGAGAATCGTTATAGCTTTCCTTGCTCATTTTGGTGTGGAAAGCGTCACTTATTCATCGCATTATTGCGAAAAGTAGTTATATGGTTAAGTACCTCATTATCCCGAATGTTTCTTTCGGAAACTTCCCGGACGCTTTTTCTTTGAGAAAGTTTCATTTGTCTGGCCAAGTCCGGGAAGTATGTATTTCTCGGACTAGGTCGGGAAGAATCACATCGCTGATGTCATTGTATAAGTCTGAAAATCTTGTGAGGCATCATGGTTTCGATGAATGCAATTGACTATTTCACGCAGTTATCAAATGAAGCCATCAGAAGCTGAAGTCAAGTTCTGCTTATCGATAACAATGAACTTGACTCTTGACTCTGATTGACCTGTCAAGTTTGGTGTTTTCAATGTGTATATGTGAGGGTAAAACGTCAAATTAAGGAATAACGCTGTGAACGCAGCAGATTACATACATCTCAGTGAAGAGAAATGTCAATGGTTTCATTCATCGTATTATATATAGAACACATCTTGTGAACAGGTACATGAAATTTAACAGTAGTGTGACGAAGTGGAAGGAAGAAAGTATCATTTCTCCGGGTTGTTAGTCTGGGAACATGAAAGTGTATCATCTCCCAAATGCAGCTGCAGTCCAAGTTTTTCCGGATTACATTGAAAAGGGATATAACATGCGACCCATTTCGACGATCTAGGACTGAGGCAACTGAAAATCTTGGAAGAAGTTGATGATGTGGATGACCTACATCTGGGTAGTTGCCATCAAGTCTAAAACATTAGTACTTCAAAAATTATCGTCGGATATTCGCTAAATTAGATATATTTACCTGATAATGTGGTGCCCAAACTATTGACGCATACTCTGAATTCAATGTAACAAATGTAAAATATAATTGCAGA